AATTTTGATCTAGGATTTGATTTAAGAGAACTTATAACTCATCATTCGATAAAATAACAAAACAGATAAAATTTTTATTAAAAATTATTTTTTTACAAAATTTAAGTAGTAAGTAAATTACGGTTTTTATTTTTTTATCTGTGTTAGGTCAGCAAGTATAACAAAATATGACTATTACATTTTGTCGACATTTCGTCGGTTTTTTAGTACATCTTCAGAACTTTACGGTTAAAACATTTTTCGTTTTCATTAAACTACGTTATAAAATTAGTCAATTTTAACATTTTTCAAGGAACTACAAAATCTGTCAAGTTATGTACAATAATTATACCTACTTAAAATAATGCTAATAAAATTTTATCATACCAATAACGCAATAAAAATGTAATTAATAAAATTTAATCAAATAAATAAATTTGTTTAAATTACAAACTCACGTGCTAGGTTCCGTAAATAAAAAAATGTAATTGTGCATAAGTACATTCAGATATAAAACTACAATTTTAATTTTTTCTATTTTAAAGACAAAATTAGAGAGGATTTTCTTTTATAAATAATAGTACACAAATTGGGGGTTAAAAATAGTTAAAAATAGAATACAGAACTAGTATTTAATTTTGATATTCATTTTATTTATCAAATTGTAGGTAATAAGATATATTTAAGATACAGATATTTTGTTTGTTATTAATGCTATATTTAAATTCATTAATGTTAATCATCTCTTATAAAGACTTTTTTTATATTATTTTGTTTTCCAGCTGTTATACAGTTTCACCAAATTTGAAATTTATGTAAAAAAGATTCTGAGCTTGCTCTGCTTACTGTTGATTTAATAATGTAATTCGTGTGATACTTCTTGATCTGAAATACACTTTTTTAAATATCTACTTATTTTGCCAACATAAACCTCATTACAATTTGAACAAAGTGTTAAAGTGTAAAGTGATAAATAACATCAAATTCTCTAAAAGTTATATGAAATGTCCTTTATATAAGGAATTTTTAAATTTCTCTTCCAACGCCGTATTATTACTTCTTTGTTTAATTGGTTACCAAATTAAATTCTTGGTTTCAATCTATTCCTTAACTTACACAAAATATTACACTGAAACCATATTTGAGCTCTAAACCTACAGAGTAAATTTATGACTTTACTTACTTTCTTAAAACCTTATTGATAAACAAATTTGTGTCAAAAATCAAACCAAAAATAAGCTGCTTCTAACATCGTAACAATAAAAAATTAAACAATAAACTTGCTGTTCCAATTTCATCTTTAATTTTATATCTAAATGTAATTATGCACAACTAAATTTTTTTGAAACCCAACACATAGACGTAATGTAAACTTACAATTAGTTGTATATTTAAAACTTCCTGATAATTTGAATAAACCTAATGATATTAATAATCACTTTTTTACAGTATTTCGGCAGTCCATTTACACTAAATTTTATTCTAATAATGTTGGTTCTCTATTTACTTTTAACACAGTATCTGACAAAGGACCCCGCACTTTTCTTATGGGAATTGGGTTTCAGCCATTTTTTTTTTAAATTTCGCAGGTTGATAGTTCTTAACATGTAGATCAAAAGTCTCAATGGGCACAAAGCCCCAAATCCAGCCCTTCCCCCCCAAAAACTGCCTCCAAATAGCGGGGGATTTAACTGATTTCTGCATGTAAAACAATTTATTTTTTTAATAAACCCAACAACGACTCCAAACAACCACATTTTTGACTATCAAACTACCCCACTTGACCCCGCCCCCACGAATCACCATACGGATTTTCCAGATTACTGTATTTTATAGAAGCACGTATTTTTTGAAATACCAACAGTTTTGGTCTCACCGATATAATGGGTTTTGCGTATCGCTGATTACGTATCTGGAGTTAGTCGAATTTGCAACTCAGTTTTACGAAAGAGCATGAAAATTGTTATTAACAATTTAATTGTTTATATAACTGTAGAAAGTTTACTTGTTTATAAAAAAAAGTTTCAAATAAAATTGTTCATTTCAATGAAATCTAAAAAAACTATTCTTGTTTTTTTCGAAAAATCAATGTTTTAGTTTTAAAACGCCACCAAAGTACAGAGTATACGTATGATAGCTTATAGATATACACGTTTGTTAAGTTTAACAGTGCCTTACAGCTTGAATATTACTTTTTCGAAAAAAAAAACAACTTTTTTTTAGATTTTGTCAAAATAAATAACTTTTACTTGAAATATTTTTTCATAAAATGACAAACTTTCTACAGCTATATAAACAATTAAATTGTTAATAACAATTTTCCTAACCCGATTTCGTAAAATTGAATTGCAGATTCGAATTCAGCGTGAAAAAATATGTGCAAAAAATATACGTGCAAATATACGTGCAAAAAATACGTGCAACTATAAAATACAGTAATCTGGAAAATCCGTAGGCTGATTCGTTAGGGGCGGGTTCAAGTGGGGTAGTTTGATAGTCAAAAATGTGGTTGTTTGGGGTCGTTGTTGGGTTGATTAAAAAAAATAAATTGTTTTACATGCAGAAATCAGTTAAATCCCCCCGCTACTTGGAGGCAGTTTTTGGGGGGGAAGGGGTGGATTTGGGGCTTTGTGCCCATTGAGACTTTTCATCTACATGTTAAGAACTATCAACCTGTGAATTTTCAAAAAAATTGGCCGAAACCCACTTCCCATTAGAAAAGTGCGGGATCCTTTACAAATTTGTATTAGAAATTATTATTATTATTATTTCGTAGTTACTTTAAAAATATGTTATATTTTATTTTACCTATATGACAATTAAGGGGGTCCTCTAGTTTCTCGGTTGTTTTTTTACGGCTTTTTCAAAAATTTTTTACGGGCAAACCATCGAAATAATAAATCTCATTGCTTTTACATAATCTTTATTAACATTTAAATGAGCTTTACAAATTTTTTGAAGACAAAATATATAATAGAATCAAAGTTATAGTGGCCGACAGGAAGACATCAAGTGAAGGAGATGCTTGACGGTGACCAAGATTGCGGCTGTTTCGCTTATTTGAAATCAAAAAACCAAACGGCATTTTAATCTTCATATTTAAGACTAGCGATTGAACTAGAATGAATTCTAAATTACAAAAATTAATTTTTTTATACACTTTTGAAAATTAAATTCTATTTTTTACTCATTTTTTCTTAAGTTTCTCGCTCGTAGAAAAAAAAACTATCGACGCAATCATGATAATCCTAGTTCAATCGTTGGCTTATAACATATTACAGATGTTGTATAAATTTGAACACGATCGGTGCAGTAGTTTCTGAAATATCGTGGTCACCGTTTTGAAAAATAGTGTTTCGAGAAAAACGCGTTTCAAAGTTCGCGCATGTGATTTATAATAAAAATTTCATCTCACAGTCAATCTGCTATGCCTGGACCATACAGTAGGCCTTCCTCTTCTTCTTGGAAGTCACTCAGAGCTGCTCCGTCTTCCCTTTTCGCGATTCAGTTAGCTTTAGGGATATCAATATAATGGTCGGCGCCGCTCGGCTTTGCGGAGCAGCGTTGCACGCGCTCCGTATACCTGCTCCATTCGAGGGCCGTAACTTGTTAACCACTTGGAATATCGAAAAATCCTTTGGCACACATTTTCTACACATGTTGTAGATGTGATTTATGAAAAAAAAAAAAAAAATCGATTTTTTCGACCCGAGAAACTAGAGGACCCCCTTAAATTGTAGCATCCTGAAGATGTAATAAAATGAACGAAACATCGACAAGGTATAATAGTCATATTTTGTTATACTTCCTGACCTAATCAGATTAAAAAATTAAATTTGTAGCAGACAAGTGGTAAACTAAAAATTTCATATACATACAGGGTGTTTCAGTTCGAGTGAATCAAAATTCCTGCGCCACTGACCTACAAAAATTTGTAAATTTTAAAGTAAATTATGCACATATGCAAGTGTTAACACCACGCCAAATTTGAATCAATTTGTTATAAACATACCAAAGATTTCGTAAATAATATGATTTTAACAACCGACCAATACGGTCCTGTACAGTGAAAACCGTGAGACTTAGACCCTTGCTTTATAACGCAATTCTTAATTATTTATTGAGTTCTATTTGTGGTTAAAGTTTGATTCACTCAAACTGAAACACTCTGTATTTAAAATCATATGAAAATTACTAATAACTATCTTTAGTTCTCTGGAAGTGTAAATGGAAAGAAACATTTATGTTACGTATTAGGATATTATCTATACAGGGTGTCCGGAACTGAATCTGTCATAGTTCATGAATAGCTTAATTGGAAGAAAATAAACAGATTTAGATCAAGTTACCATAGTAAATTTTACTTCCATAGTAATGAGCCTTCAAAAAAATTGTTTCGGTCACTAAATATATTTCATCGAAATTTGACTTTGTGTGTTTTTGAGGTGGCTAAATATGAATGAAACTTTTTTTTTTACTTAAAACAAAGATGTTGCTAAAAATACCTAAACTGTCTTCTGTTCAAATTGGTCTAAAATCATAAAAAAATGTACAACTATAACACTGTGGGAAATAACTACTCTGCGGACTACAGCCCATTCAGTATTAAGTTAACCCGCAAGGTACTCTAGAATTGTCAACTGATGACTCCTTTCTTAAAGTATAAAATAGTATTTAAAAAATATCTGCGTTTTCTCAAAATCTTTACCAAAATATGACAAAACAAAAAACTGTACAACGTGACAATGTTTTACGTAAAACATAATCTCATATTGATATGTGGGTATTCTAAAATCTACAGCATGTCAATTTTCATTGAAATATATTTAAAAGAGACCTACTGAGTTATTTTCAAAAAAATAAAAAAGAACCTTAGTCAAAAATTGTATAAAGAAAAATTGTATTAAGATAACTAGACCCAACTTAGTTTATTTTCATCTAAGGAAGCTCCCCTTGAAGTAAGACCCACTCGTTTCAAGGCATCATTATATTTACAATCATGCATCGTTAGTTACTATTACCTTTTTCTTCTCTAAGTTTTCCTTTCCTTTAAGATCGCTTTTAGGACATTTCTTATCTCCAAACAGAAGCTGTAACAATTGTATAGAAATAATTATTTACAGTGAAACATCTATTTTATTAATAAAAATAATATGAAGAATTTTCATCGTGTGTGTGTAAATATGTATGTAATACAAGTAGGTACATGAAATAAATATAACTTATCTGAATTGAAATTAATATATTAATGCGTGTCCCAAAATTCACCCAAGATTTGAATTTTGCGCCATTTGTGCCGTAAAGTGTGCCAATGAAAAAAGAAGGCAACGTAATAGCTGACAGTTCAGCGTTATTAAAAAAGGAGTGCTACGCGAAAGAACAACGGGTCTTCATTGCTGAAAAATATTTTAAAAATAATTTGCAATTTGCGTATAAAATATGGTTGGAATAGTGATTTAACTTCATCAACTGTGAAGAAATTACATAATTGAAAATTTCAGGAAGACTGGACCAATTAGTGATCTTAAACACTCTGGCCGTCCTTCAACAAGTTGTTCAACACAAAACATCGAAGCACTTTGTGAGTGTTGCTGAGACTCCAGGAACGTCAATTCCGTAGGTACCGTGGTCAGGAATTGAACATTTCTAAAAGCTCTCTACAGAGTATTGTTACGAAAGATTTGCATCTTAACATTTACAAAGTTCAATTGACTCAAGAAGTGAAGCCTACTGACTACGTAGAGCGAGGAGAGTTCGTTGAATGGATTATGGAATAAGTGGAAGCTGATTTTTCGAACATAATCATCTTCACGATGAGGTTTATTTTGATGGTTTAATGGCGTTAATCTAGAAAATTATCGCATTTGGAATTCAGAAAATCCACAAGTGATTGTTAAGAAACAAATGCATGCACAACGTATCGGACTATACTTCTTTGAAATTGCGGCTGGTAACAGTTAATTGTCCTCGTTTTCTCGTCATGATAATCCACTGTTCTGTGCCCAAATTGCAAGATATGGTTATAAACGCCATGTGGTTTCAACAAGACGGTGCCATATGCCATACAGCCCCAGAAACAATTCAATTACTGTATGAGTCATTTCCTGGACGTGTAAACCGATTTGGTGATCAGAATTTGCCGGTCTAATTGTGCGATTTAACGTCGCTGGCATTTTTTCTTCGGGTTTTTTTTAAGTCTACGATTTATGCCAATAAGCCCACGCATTGAAGGAAGAAATTGAGCGATGTATCAACGAAATTCAGCCGCATTTATTCAAATCGGTCATGGAAAATTTCGACAAAACAATGCGTAGCTATGTGTCAGCAAAGCCGTGGAGGCCATTTACCCGATATACTATTCCGTACATAACCCTATACTGTATACTTTATGAATCAATATAAAAATTATAATTTTTAATTAAAAACCTATGTTTTCTATCAAAAATTATTTCTTGTGTAAATTTTGAGACACTTTATATTTGTTGAAACATGTGTACATGTTATTGTACATATATCACTTTTTCAAGGACTTACGTAATATAGTTGGAATTCGGTGATACCTCTATAATTTTCTACCAATAAAGTATTGTTGTTTTTTAATATACAGTATGTCCGCGGATTGAGTAGATATACAAGAGGACAAATGGACCCAAAAGTGAAAGATACGAAAAAAAAGACATTCTTGACAAAAGTTTTTGGTCGTTTAGAAAATATGAATCACCATGACAAACTTCAAATTTGTTATACAGGGTGGATCAAAAACACAAAAATGTTATGTTGCGTAAAAGTAAACATACCTTATTTTGCAAGATAAGAAAAAAGGCATTCTTGATCAAGTTTTTGCTTGAAAAATCAATAAGAGTTACGTTATCAAAAATTTAATTTTTTATATAGGGAATAAAGTACAAAACTAAAATACGTCTTAATCAAGTATAATTTTTAAATAATACGAACATAATTACATCAATTAAGCTAAAAAAAGTAAACAAAGCAATATGATGAATACCTATATCAAATTTCATAAACGCCACCCCATATTGAACACTTTTTTCTAATTGCTGATTTCTTCCTGGGATACTGAATGGACAGCCTGGGTAATTCTGCCTTTTAGCATTTCAATATTAAGTATTTGGTATTGGAGTAGCATAAACAATTTGTTTTAAATGGGCCCACATAAGCATATCGGCCATGGTCAGGGCCACAAAATTGGACCATTTCTACCATCCATCTTGGACCAAATCTATGGTTAAGCCAGTCTGTTACCTCACGAGTACAATGTGCTGGACAATCATCCTGTTGAAAATACATTTTTTGGCGGAAATTTAATGATAAATTTTCAGAGTTCATCGCTAAAGTTATTTCTAGTTATTCTGATTAGAGGTATGCTAGAGAATACTTAGTTAAATTTTTGATAACGTGACTCTTATTCACTTTTCAAGCAAAAACTTTTATCAAGAATAACATTTTTTCGTATCTTGCAAAATAAGGTATGTTTATTCTTACTCAAAATAACATTTTTGTGTTTTTGACCCACCCTGTACAACAAAATTGGAGTTTGTCCTAGTGATTTATATTTTCTAAACAAGCAAAAACTTTTATTAAGAATGCTTTTTTTCGTATCTTTCACTTTTTGGTCCATTTGTCCTCTTGTAAACTCAATCCGCAGACATATTGTAGATGAAACAACACCAATCTTTAATTTATAATTTATAAGGAAATCGACCACATTCAAGAGATAAATGATATGAGTCAGCGGTGGGGCAATTTGATTACATATACAGAGTGGTAAAGTCCCCATGGTTCATCGGCCGTTACGTGAGAGCGATAAAGTAAGTCATAGAAATCTGTGTGATAGAGAAAGATGGCTATAATGAAGGCGTCTAATAGTCACCCATCGCCCATTTCGCCCTTCCACAAATTGGAAGTGGATCTTATTTGTGGAAGGGCGAAACGGGCGGTGACTATAGCCATCCTTCTCTATCGCATGGATTTCTAAGACTTACTTTATCGCTCTCACGTAACGGCCGATGAACCATGGGGACTTTACGGCCCTGTATATGTAATCAGATTGCCCCACCGCTGACTCATATCATTTATCTCTTGAATGTGGTCGATTTCCTTATAAATTATAAATTAGATTGGTGTTGTTTCATCTACAATATGTCCGCGGACTGAGTTTACAAGAGGACAAATGGACCAAAAAGTGAAAGATACGAAAAAAGGCATTCTTAATAAAAAAAATTCGTTGCTACGTTCATAGATTGTTAAATATACCAATGTCAAATTTAAATTTCAATAAGGAAGTGCAGATATTGCAACAATTATGTATTAATAATGATTTTTCTCCTGATATTGTACAGAGAACTATTAATAGAATTTTGTTTCAGAAAAATAGAAATTTAGCTTTTCATTCACAAAATGTTAACATTGATAATAATTACAATTTTAGATCTTTATCTTATTTAGGTAGTATTTCGGATAATATTTCAAAAATTTTAACTAAAAGTATTCCTAATCTCAAAATTTCCTTTAAAGTAAATAAGTCAATTCGTTCAAAATTTTCTAAAGTTAAAGATTCACAGGATAAATTGTCAAATAGCGGTATATATTTGTTATCTTGTAATGATTGTCCCGTCACCTATGTTGGTAGAACCATTAGATCATTAAATATTCGTATTAATGAACATTTAAAAAGACCTGAAAAGTCAGCTTTTGGGCATCATATTAATTTTACTAACCATTCATTTTCACCTTTAAACAATAGCAAAATTCTTCATAATATTCATAATAATTTTGATTTTCATAAAATTAATTTATTGGAAGACTTAGAAATTCTAAGAGAAATTAAAAGGAACCCTAATAACTGTGTTAATACTCAAGTCAATTTAAATTGTAATTTTAAACCTTTATTCAAGTATCTTTGAGAATCTCATTAATTCACATCTGATATTTTGTTATTAGTATATTGGTAGTTTTACTTTAAATTTTTTTTGTTTTCACTTAGTTGGTAATCCGTACAATTGTAGAATGTCAATTTTCAATTTCATTTAACATTTAACCTCACTTTATTTCACTCCAAGTGTTCGACATTGTTAGTCAATTTCTGTTTCTTTCTCTTGTTATTTACCAGTAACTGATGTTATATTTAATGTTGTATATTGTTATGTCGAACTTATTAAGATTTTCAACGTTTCCTAAATATTTTTTGGTATCTAAAATTTAACGTAAATAAAAAATTTTTTGCTTTATATAATGTCATTTCAACCTCTTGTTGATATTTTTGGAATAGCTCCGATGATGACTATGTAGTCGAAAGCGCTCAGCTAAGATTTTAATAAAAATTTTATACACACTTTAACATACAAATTTATTTGGCTTTTCTTTAAATCACCGAAGCGTGTACTCAAGATACAGTCGTTATTTTTTAAAATTCTTAATAAAAGTTTTTGCTTGTTTAGAAAATACAAATCACTACGACAAACTCCAATTTTGTTGTATAAAACAAAAAAATGTTATTTTGAATAAGAGTAAACATACCTTATTTTGCAAGATACGAAAAAATGTCATTCTTGATAAATGTTTTTGCTTGAAAAGTGAATAAGAGTCACGTTATCCGACCCTGTATGTTTTTCACCATCTTGGTAGAAAACAGAATCTGTACATTTCGCAGTAAAGAGAAATGCTTCCCCAAATGATTTTGAATGGAACTTAATAATACATAAGTATATGTAAATGTCAATAGTAATATTATTAATTAAACAACAGATTGTTCGTTCATTTTACCCATTTTGTGTTTGTTAATTTCTAAAACCAACATTTTTGTTTTTGTTGTTTTATTGTTTATTACGGTAAAAGTTCTTCCGAGTATTATGCATTTTTGATTTGTATTGTTTTTTTTTATTAATGTAATTAGTAAGTTTATCACGAATAATCCAGCTTCATTCACTGGAGGGGGCAATAGAGCTTACTACGGGTGAACAGTACACATCTAAAACATACAACAAAATATTATGAAATTTACAAAGTAAGAAACTCTGATGCTCTGTGGTTTTTGTTTTTAACAGAGTTAGCAACACTGCATTCAGCCAAG